TGTGTGGCTGTGTGGCTGTGACGCTGTGTGTCTGTACCTGTAGTTGTGGGGTGTTGTATCTCTCTCTCCTTCAGCACGGCTGAGGAGAATCTGTGTGTGTGCTGTATGTTGTTTGCCTCACGTTTTGGTGGGAAGTGGAGCTAATTAAGAATGAGTGACAGAGGCCAGGCAGCGCTGGTGGCTAATGAGCTCCCGTGGCCATGGAATTCCCTCGGTGCCAGTCTTCACTGGTACAAGTCACTGCTGGGAGCCCAGAGGTGGCAGCGATGATTTCATCTAGCCCACAGTGTGCAAACTTCCTAGGCCCATTCCTGCCTGTCACAAGATGCTGGCTGAGGCTGCAGCTGAGGGCTGTACATGAACTCTACATGTACCCAGGAGCTCTCACAAATGCAGTAACTTCTTGTCCCTCTGGGCATCACCTGGTGAGTACATTGAACCAGTTCCTGGTAGGCAGAGGTGGCCAAAACAGGGTCAGTTTTCATGGTGACTGTGAGTGCTCTGGGTCAACAAGATGTTTGTAGGCAGTCCTGGAGACAATAGGCCGGGTCACCTGTCAAGCTCAACTCATTCCTGTTACAGAGTGGCTCAGAGAGAGCTGGAGACATGAACAAGGTCATCCAGAATGCCAGCGGATGTTCTCCACTCTCCACCGTCCTCACCCTGGCTGACCCTGTGGACGGCAGGCATCACCTGGCTTCCTTGGTCTTGAGCTTCCAGTTGGGTTCAGCCAATGGGAGGCATCAGCTGGGCATCAGAGGGTAGGAGATAGAGAAGTTGGAGTGTTTTACCACTCACCCCAAGTTTGGCAGTGGCCATGACTCACAGCTCCTCTCAGGTGACCCACTGCTACCACTCTCACTGGCTCCAGTAACCACCCCCTCTTGTCCCTTCAGGTTTGGGGGTGACGGCTCCCCACTGCTGCCAGCCCCAGGAGTTGCACAGTCCTTTCTGGTTCCTGTAACTCTGCCCTCACCTCAGGTAAATCACCCCTTCTCTAAACTACTCACAGTCAACCCTCTGAGTAAGCTATCTCTTTCCTGCTGATGTATAGACTTTGCCATTGTGCTAGGGGCAAAATACACCCTTCCTCCCTCTGTTCCCGTGTGTCTGTGCTGGCCTCCAGGCCTTTGCACTTGCAGCTTCCTCATTTGGAACACTCCTCCCCGGCATTTCCTGTGGCTGACTCCTCATTGGTTTGAAGCCCTGAAACAAGCCACATTTAACATATTCAGCAGTGCTTGGCACAGTGCTTGTTTAGTATTAATGAATAATAACCAGTTGCCATGGAGCTGACTCTGACCAATGGAGATCCCATGTATGTCAGAGTAGTACTGTGCCCCGTTGAATTTTCAATGGCTGATTTTTTCACAAGTAAATTGCCAGGCCTTTTTTCTGAGGCACCTCTGGGAGGACTCAAACCATCAACCTTTCAGTTAGCAGCGGAGCACTTAACCATTTGCCCTGCCCAGAGACATCCAACGAACACTAGCTAATGTTACTGTTGTTGTTGCTGTTGTGTTAAATATGTACACAATTGCAGGGTACAGGAATGGAAAGCGCTCTTCACGTCTTTGACCTCAACAATAAGTTTGAATGTAATTAATGTCGCTGAATTGTACAGATATAAAGGGTTGAAATGACGAATGCTTACTTGAAATTAAAGCACAAGGTTTTAATACTGTAATACCTGCCCCCCCCAAAAAAACCCCAACTTATTGTGAGTCAATTCTGACTCACAGTGACCCTGTAGGACAGAGTAGAACTGCCCCATAGGGTGTCCAAGGATGTAATCTTTACAGAGGAAGACCCTCAATGAGACGGATTGACACAGTGGCTGCAACGATGGGCTCAAGCATAACAATTATCATGAGGATGGCGCAGGAACAGGCAGTGTTTTGTTCTATTGTACATAGAGTCGTTATGAGTTGGAACCGACTCAAGGACATCTAATAGCAACAATCGTTGCAGAAGCAGACTGCCGCATCTTTCTCCCTTGGAGTACCCGGTGAGTTCAAACCGCCAACATTTGGTTAGCAGCTGAGCACTTTAACCATTGCACCACCAGGACTCCTTAATACTGTAATAGGATGTGTTGATTTAACTACTATTAACTAATATTGAAATATTGGATCTGTGCCAATTATTAATAATCTTTGGTTATTTCTGTAGTTAATGTCCTTTGCGTGCCTGTTTTTTTCCATATTATGGTTTGGGGGTTTCTTATTCATTTTAAGTTGAAATCTACTCCAAGATTTCATGAAAGGGGAAAATAATAAGTATACAATGTTCAGTAGCTCAATGTGTTATCACAATGACATTTAAAAATAAGATATATGTGGCTAAAACGTGGGAAAAAATTCCTCTCTTCAAAGGGGCCTTCCTTGACCACTGTCTGCTTTGGGCCCATTTTGTCCCTCACGTGATCAGCTGTGCCCTTCACAGCACTTAGCACAGTTTGTACTTATGATTTTTCCTTTGTTCCAGGTTTGTCTCTCCCTCTAAACTGTGAGCTTGCCACAGGCAAAGCCCTCATCTTCTGTGTTCACTGCTGTGTCCTCAGTATCTGTGTCTTAGCACATTAGGCTGCTGTAACAAAAGAGGCCCCCACACTGGCTTGGATGACAGAAGTTTATTCTTCCTACAGGTTGTAGTGTGGGCAGGTGGTCCATGGCTGGCAAAGCAGTTTCAAGTGTGGTGTCGGGTACCTCCTCCCTTCCCCAAGGCCCCATGCTCCCCAGGTCTCTTCAGCCACTGGGGTACTACTTAAATAAAACCCTCTCTTACCCAGAGCACTCCCACTCCCTTTGGCCTTAGGTCCTGGCCTAGACGGCCCCAGACCCTTGTTCTCCCAACCAGAGGCTCATTAATGTGGCTTCCCAAACCACAGAGCCATTTCCCTGAAATGAAGTCAGCCTCTCCCACAGGACGGAGGGCTGCATGTATTGTCTCAATTGTTGTTGTTATTGAATATTAGTTTTCTCCCAAAGGTCAGTGTAAGTTATTCCATCACTCTGTGCTTCAGCTTCTTCATCTGGAAAATGGAGGTAAACATAGTTCTCCTTGGGTTGTTTTAAGGATTGTTGTTGTTGTTAGCTGCTATCAACTCCTGTCAACTCCAACTCAAGGCAACCTTACATACAACAGAATGAAACAATGCCCAGTCCCGCATCATCCTTGTGATCACTAGCATGTCCATCCTTGTGGCTACTGTGCCAATCCATCTCACTGAGGGTCTCCCATGCCCTTCTTGGCCCTCTACTTCACCAAACAAGATGTCCTCCCCCAGCGATTGATCCTTCCTGATGACATGGCCCAAGCAAGCAAGTCAGACAGTATTCTGTTGTGATACATAAGGTTTTCATTGACTGATTTTCTCAAGTAGATCGTCAGGTCTTTCTTCCTAGTCTGTCTTAGTCAGAAAACTAAGCTGAAACCTGTCCACCATGGGTGACCCTGTTGGATTTGAAATATCAGTGGTATAGCTTCCAGCATCACAGCAAAACGAAAGCCGCCACAGTACCACAGACAAGCTGACAAATGGGTAGTGGTTTTAAGGATTAACGGAGTATACAGCTTTTAGAACTGAGCCTAGAACATGCTAAGTGCTCTTTAAATAATATTATGTCTTTCTTCTCAACTTTATCCTGAGGCAGGCTGAGCAGGCATCACTTCATTTTTCACATGCAGAAATGAAGGACCAGAAAGCTGAAGCTTTCTTGCCAAACATTGGCAGGTGGCTGGGTCTGGGTTTCAATCCAGGCCCGACTCTCAGTTACTTCACCATAAAATCGGGATGATTGTGGACCTCCTTATACGACTAGGTCTGAAATGACAAATATATATTATATATATTTTACCACAATAAGAAGTATGCAAAATGAATTTTTTTAAAAAGTGTGCGCCATTCCCCTTCGTTGTGTTCCACTTGACGCCACCCGTGGTCCCAGCGATGCTCCTGGCAGCCCTATGGTCAGCTGCTTCTGTTTGGTTGGAGGGAGAGCTGGGCAAACAGAGGCCCATTGTCTCTGTCCTCTGGGGCTGTCGTCGGGGCCTCCTCCCAGGTTCCTGCCCCAAAGACACTCCCAGCTTTCGCTCAACCTTGTCTTGGCTTTCCTGGGTGGGGGTGGGGACTGCACCCTGAAGAGATCACCAGCCCTGCTTTACGGATGCGGAAACGAAGCTTAAAGACTTGTCTCAGGTCAGAGCTGTTGAAGATGGGGCAGGGGCAGGGGTTCACTCTGGGAGGGCGCGTGTGCGGCCTCAAGACATAGAGGTATGGGTCCCATTGGGTCAGAGACTGCAAGGCCAGAGAAATCCCTCATTAACTCGAGGAAGCAGGCGCAGGGAACACGGACCCTCGCCCAAGGTCATACAGCACCAGCCGCCAGGAAACCCAAAACCAACCCGTTGCCGTCGAGTAGATTCCAACTCATAGCGACCCTACAAGACAACATACAACTACCCAATAGGGTTTCCAAGGCTGTACTCTTTACGGAAAAACACTGCCACATCTTTCTCCCGCGAGCGAGGAGCAGTTGGTGGGTTCGAACTCACATCTTTCTCCCCTGGAGCGGCTGGTGGATTACCGCCAACATTTGTTAGGCAACCGAGTGCTTAACCACTGCGCCACCAGAGGTCCTTCCGGGCGGGGAAACCAGGCCTGCCTTTCTGCCGGACTAGCCTCGTTTCCACCCAGTTGGGATTCAAGCCTGCACAGCGAGAAGCGGGGGAATTACAGTGGCTCCTCCCCCGGGACGTACGCTCCAACCGTCTGTGACGCGAGGTGCTGAAATCTCGCCGCGGCCCCTCCTCCCAGGGGGCGTGGTTTCCCGAGTCAGGCAGAACTCTACTGGTTATTTGCCTGCGGCGGGCGGGACTTCTCGCCTGCTTGGCCTTGAGGGCGTGGCCTCCTTCTTGGCGGCGAGCTCAGCGCGGGATTCCATCCCTCTGTGACGCAGGCGCCGGTACGAGCAGGGCGGAGCCGAGCCCTCCCAGAGCTCCGCCCCTCAGCGGAGGCGGCCGGGCTGGGGGCGTGTCCTGGGCGGGGCCCCGCCTAACTCGTCCCCCGCCCCACCCGGTCTTGAAGCGGCTGCCACCGCAGGGAGGTCCCGGCCCCGGCATGTGAGTGTGGCGGGGTTGGGGATGCGGGGTGGAACGCCGAGCCTGGCCCCAGGGGTCTCCAGGGGTCCCTGTGGGCAGGGGTACCAGTGCGCGGGCGGCCGGGCCGGCCTGCCAGGTGCGGGCCCACGTGCAGAGGGCGAGGGGCGCCCGCGCAGGGTGCGCCTAGGCGGGTCCTGCGCTCCTAGCCAGCCCTGACCCCTTTCTCCGCGGCTGAGGAACAGCTGCAATGGCAGCAGCTGGTGCCGGCTTTCTGGTGCTGGTGCGGCGGCTGCGGGAGTGGGAAGGGGAGGTAGCCGCGCGGCGGGACCAGAGGTGACCTCCTCCCCCGGCTCGGGGTTGGGCCACAGCCTCCGTGAGCCCAGACCTGTTTCTGGGAACCGTAACCACAGCTCTCACGGACAGAGAGCTTTCTGTGCCGGACTCTTGACAGTTCATTATCTCAATCCTCCCAACAGCCCCCATTTCACAGTTGAAGAAACTGAGGCTAAGGGCCCAAGGCCACACAGTTGTTCGGTGGAATGGTTGTAATGTGGGAGTGCAATGCTGAGGCCTTGCAGCCAGACTAGGGAGGGAGGGGGCACCCCGCTGCTCCTCAGACCCCTTGTCTGTGTGACCTTGGGCATGTCTTCCCCTCTCTGAGCCTCTAGTGCGGTCTTGGCGCCTGCCTCCAGGGCTGCTGTGAAGATTGAGTTAGGTATTTCAGGGAAGGACGGTGAGCACTCAGTAAAGGTTGTTATTGTTGCTGTGGCTGCTGTTGTTAAGTGGCGCCTTTGTGGGCGCTGGGAGTAGTGGGTGCTGGGACAGGGCTGTGTGGTCAGCTAAAGCGGGCCTAAGGGGAGGGGGTGGCTGTGATGGCTGCTCTCCACACTGAGGCTGCTCCATCTGTGCACACTGAAGGCCACACACAACCCAGCTGTACCAGGCTGTGCCGGAGACGCGCTGGCCCATCGTATACTCTCCACGCTACAATATCACCTTCATGGGCCTGGAGAGGCTGCACCCCTTCGACGCAGGGAAATGGGGCAAAGTGATCAATTTCCTCAAAGGTATGGAAGGTTGCCTCTCACCCTACATATACTCCCTCCACCCAACCTGTCCCCCATCCCCATCATCCCTAATGTTTTTCCTTGAACTCAAGCCTCAGACCCTCCTACCTCCAGTCTCATCCTCCCAGACTGCCTTCTACTCATGCTGTCAAAGGTGTCTTTCCAACCTAGCCCTCTAAGCACCATGTGTACCTGTCTGAAACTCACACTGGCTCCTCATGGCTGTGGACCTGAGTTTTGCCTCTGCCCCTGGAGGCCCAGTAGAAAGGGAGCTGATTAACGATGGACACAGAAGAGCAGAACTTTGGAGAAGTTCAGTGTCCATGCCCAACAAGCTCAGATAGCCCAGGGGCAGAGAACCTTTGCTCCAACCTTCTGAATACAGGTGGGGGAAAGTAGGGCCCAGAAAGGTTAGGAAACATGCCCAAAGCTTCTAAGTGGCAGAGTAGGGTCTAGAACTCAGAACCCCAGGCTCCTAGCAGGGCTCCTCGCTGAGCAAGGTGATGCTCTGGAGCACATCCATTTTAGCTGTAGCTTGTAATCCAGTGGTCTGATTTAGGTGGGAAATTCAGGCATCACATTGGACTGGTGTGTGAATATTCTCCTTATTTCCTCTATCAAGGCTTCTTTCATTGAGGGAGGTAGGAAATGTTACCTGGACGTGTTACCTGGCATAGGATGAAGCACTGAATATCTTTAAATCACACCACCCTTCTGATCACATCAAGGGGAAAGTCTCACTTTGGGACTAGCCTGTCTTTAACACCTCTCAAGACTTGCCCATCTCCCTTTTTAACAAATCTAGAGCAAGCCACTGTGCCTTACAGAAAACAGGATCCAGTTAGAGATTTATAATAATGTGTTTCCATTGTGTTTGTTTTTTGGTTAACTTCTGTTTCTGGCAAGTGATAGTGATTTTCCATTTGCAGTAGTGACCAGAAAGAAAAATAGTAGGTGGAAAAGATGTGACACCAGGTGAGGTGAGTGGAGCTGAGCCCACCTCAGACCTTGCAGTCCTCTTGCCTTCCTGCATATGGCCCCTTGTGCGCCATTTCCTGCAGACCCAGCATGAGTTCTCTGCTAGTCACCCCTTCTCAGACTCCTATGTCACCCAGGAGCTCAGCACAAGGGTTCCTTGTCTCCCTGTCTCTGAGCTGACAGTCAAGCCTGAGTTCCCTCCTTTTCTGCTCTGAGGATGAGTGTGGAGAGGAGGCAGGGACCCTATGGTGAAAGGCCTCGAATGTCACGCCAAGAAAGGAATTGGCCCCTTGTCTGAAGGCAATGGGGAGCCATGGAGTGTCCTGGGAGGAGGAGTACCTGCCTGGAGCTATACGTGGGAAATGTATGCAACCAGTTGGTTTCTACCAGGGTTGGTTTCTAAGGTTGATGCAGTAAAATAGGTCTCCTAAAGTCTGACCTTGTCACGTCAATTCCCTAGAACCCAGAGCACCATGGTCCTGTCCTGCCCATGCCCTGTGGCACTGCCTACTCTCGGCCTCAGGTTCTTCGTTCACCGAACAGAGCTGATCCTGTCTGGTGTGTGCAAGGGATGATGAAATCATGTAGTGTTTCCCAAACATCAGTCATTTTGTACCCACTCTTGGGGCCTTGCCATCTCCTCATACCACCTGTTCTGTTATTTTCTTCATATTTTTATTTACTTAGCCTCTGGTTTTAAATACTTAAACTTGTTTTAAAAGGCACCATTATGCATCTAAATGGGAAAAGTCAGTTTCGGTTGCCGTAAATAGAAGGTCATGGTACAAAAGAAATGTCATGAAAACACAGCAGTGTGATTCCATCCAGGTCAGTTTCTGCTGCCTGCAGGCTGTGAGACGAAGACCTGCTGTCTTCGGGTTAAAAAGGAGCAATGTCAGGCAGGTGTTAGCGGGAGGCCAGCACCCCCCTGAGACTCTCCAGATGTCCTCAGAAGGCTGAGAGAGAATCGATAATAGCTTTACTCACCTTGAGGGTCAGCATTCTTGACTCTTGTGCCACCTGCCTCTGAAAATTGCTCACTCACACCTGGACTCACCTCGTGGCTGTTAGTAGCTTGGAAACACGGGGTTGCTCTGTGCACAATGTCCGAGTATGAGGGCCTGGCCAGTGTGCACACTGGCTTGGGAGGTGGCCGTTCTCAGAATACCCAAGAGCCAGCAGTCCCCTCCTCTGTGGACAGGGGAGGAGGGCGGCCAAGTCTGCAGCCTGGGAGCAGGGCCTGGCCTGGAAGTCAGCAGGCAGCAGGGTGCCATTCTGTGATTGCAGAGGAGAAGCTTCTGTCAGACGGCCTGCTGGTGGAGGCACGGGAGGCCTCGGAGGAGGACCTGTTGGTGGTGCACACGAGGCGCTATCTCAACGAGCTGAAGGTACAGGGCAACGGGCCCTGGGGGGCTGCCTGCCCAGAGCCCCTCCTCGCTTTTGGGACTAGATGGAGAGGGGGCTGGAGATGGCCAGCCACGGCCAGTGGAGAGGGGGCAGCAGCTCAGCCTGGAGAGGCATAGCCTTGAGGGCTCCCACTCCTGTCACTGGGGCAGGGGGAGCATGTGGTCTGTGGCTCCCAAGGGAAGGAAGAGAGAATGTTATAAAAAGGCAGACACTAGGGATGGGTTAGGCTGCTCCAGGTGGTAGTGAACTCCCCGTTGCTGGGGGGTATGAAAGCAGGGATGTCCACTTGGTGGAGACTGAACCTGCGCAGGGACTTTGTGCTTCTACATTGGTGACTTAAAATCCATGCTCTGTGGACAGGCCTTAAAGACTACTGCTGGGGTGGTATATGGGGTGGGGGGAACCCAGCCCTTTAGCCCATCTAACCAAAGCTGTTTCACTTTGGCCTGTTTTTATATTGGGCTGAAGTTTAAGATTCTGTTCCAAGGACTTCTGCTGATAAAGACTTGTCAAAAACTGTTAGGCAAAAATCTCATTTTAGGTATAAGCAAGTGGGCAGGTGGGGTGGGAGGGCGTGGGGGATGAACTTGAGAACGCCTGTTCCTTCCAAACTAGGCCCAGCATGGCCAGAGCCTCTGGTTTTCAAAGAGAAGCCAGAAACCCTGATTATTCAGTGGAATTTCCTGATTTCTTAATGGGATGATGCATTTTACGGTTTTAAAATCCCACCTGCAGACTGCACTGGGCTCCCAGGCTGCCCACTGTGGCCTCTTTCTAGAGGAGCCCAGAAAGGTCCTGTCAGAGGCTGGGTTCTATGGCCTGGAGTTTAGTCAGTCCACTCTGTAGGAGCAGAGGGGAGGTGGGAGGGGGCATCAGCACCTGGGGCCAGTGTGAGCCCTGGTGGGGAGGGCCAAGGATGCCACGGGTGCTCATCCCCTAAGAGTATGGGAGCCTTGACCCCAAACCCTGGACTTCACTGCTGGATTTGTCTTAGACTCAGCCATAGCGGATTCCAGAGGTCAACAGGCTGAAAAGCCAGACCCAGAGAGGGGTTGTTCTTTTCTTGTTCAAGACAACCCAGGAAATAGGGGCAGGTCTGCTGGAGACCCTGTCTTCAATGTGGGCACCCAGACCCGGGCCATAGCTGCTACCTCCCTACCCTCTGCCACCCGACCTGAGCTGTGAGAATTCTAGATGGGGCCACGGCAGTGTGAGCTCATGAAAGATTACCAGGAAGAGGCTGACACCTGGCTCCTGGGCGAGGGAGGTGTGTGAGGCCTTGGCAGGGAGCCCAGCGCTTGGCTGCCCTCATTTCCTGGTGCCCGGGCATGCGTGGTCAGAGTAGAGTCCACAATCTAGAGGGTGAAGTGAGAGCAGAGACGGGGGCGTTGAGTTGGACAGGGAGACGCCAGCACAGGGTGGGGCCAGGGCTGGGGTGAGTGGACTGAGAGAAAGGTTGTGGATGGGGAGATGGCCTTCCACATGCCTGTCCTTGGGACCCCAAAACATTGACAGAAGTCTGCTATATGATAAGTATTATGAGAAAGTCTCAATAGAAAATTAAAGTCAAGGGCAGGAGGAGAATTCAAAGATGTCAACTGAAAAGGCAGACCAAGATGCTGGGATTGAGCTGCATATTTGATTTGAAGCTACCTGGCAGCCAGAGCAAAAGGAAAAACAGGATGATGTCTGTGGCAACTACTAAGGTGAAGAGGTATTCATTCAGTCATTCAGCACATCTGTATTTGAGTGCCAGGTTCCTGCTCCCATGGATTTGCATTTTCATTGTGGGGGACTGAAAATAAAGCAGTAAACACACAAGAGCATTTCAGAGAGCACCAAGGGCTAGGAAGAAAAGTAAAAATAGAGGGTAACTGAGTAGAGGTGTGCTTAGTTAGACTGGGTGGTCAGGGAAGGCCTCATGGAGGAGGTGGCATTTGAGCTAAGACTGAAGAATGAGGACTAGGTGACACTAATGTGGAGCTTTGAAGGGAGAGCATTCCAGAGTCAAAGGTCGGAGGGGAAGAGCATCCTGGAGGGGTGCGGGGGCTGGGCTGAAGGGAGCAAAGGGCTGGGTGGTACAGATGAGGTCAGGGAGGCAGCAGCGGCCAGGTCACGCAGTGTTTGGAGGCCGTGGGGACGCTTTTGGATTTTGTCCCAGGTACTCTGCTGCTCAGGTGAGACCCATGTCCATTTCAGACATTGCTGGCATCTGGGGGCTGTGGCTCAGGAGCCCCCCACCCTACCCCCCTTTCAGCCAGATGCCTGTGATGTTTCTTTTCTTTTCTCTGCTGTAAGCACCCAGAGAGCTGTCTTTGGAGAGTCCCACAGGTCTCCCAGGGACTGTTGCTTGGCTGTTTGGGTTCCGTGTGTACTGGGGGGCACCTACCTCTTCCTGCCCCACCTCACTCTGCCCCCCTACCCTGATTCTAGGCCCCTGCCTGGCCCTTAGGTGCTTAATAAACAGGGCCCTGAAAGAGAAGCAGTAGCCTATTTGCAAGGCAATGTCAATTCAGGGAAACAAATGTTTATTGAGCATCTACTGTATGCAAGGCCTAGAGTTGGCCCCACAGAGGGTGGCGGTTGGGTTGGGCCAGCACAGGGCTCTTGTCTTCTGCTGACCCTAGTGACCATTTGCTGTGAGGTAGGGGTTAGTGCAGATGCAGTGTTCGTATCTTGTCCTTGTTCACCCCATGCTGGGCAGTGCTTAGGTCACACCGATCCCGCTAATATTTAGAGAGCACCAGGCCTTGTTCTAGCGGCAGAGATAGAACAAGAGAGACCAAGTTCACTTATGGAGCTGGCATTTAGGTGGCGGGGGTGGGGGGTAGAGACAATAAACACAACCACCAAGTAAATGATAGAGGGTGTTAGAAGTTGTTAAGTGCTATGGGGAGCAAAGGAAGGGGATGGAGGAGGCCCATACCATATACCAGACCAGTTGTCGTGCAGTCAGTTCTGACTCCTGGCAACCCCCTGTGTTTCAGAATAGAACTGTACTCCACAGGGTTTTCAGTGGCTGATTTTCAGAAGTAGAGTGCTAGGCCTTTCTTTCTAAGTGCCTTTGGGTGGACTCCAACTGCCAACCTTTCAGTTAGCAGCTGAGTGCTTAACCGTTTGCACCACCTAGGGACTCTGGAGGGGGCCCAGGCAGGGGTATTTTAAATCGTGTTGTGAGGTCAGGCCTCTCTGACAGGTTTCCACATTGAGCCCACATTCAAGGCCTTGTGAAGAGGAACTCCTGTTTAAAGGGGTGTGCTCCACAAGGGGAGCCCTGGTGGCACAGTGGTTAAGAGATCGGCTGCTAACCAAAAGGTCGGCAGTTCAAATCTACCTTGGAAACCCTATGGGGCAGGTCTACTGTGTCCTATAGGGCCACTATGAGTTGGAGTCGACTCGATGGCAATTTTTTTTTTTTTTTTTTGGTTTTGGCTCCACAGGGAGCTCTGGTGGCTCAGTGGTTAAAGCAATTGACTGCTAACCGAAAGGTTGGTGGTTTGAAACCACCAGCAGCTCCCCTGGAGAAAGATGTGTCAGTCTGCTTCCGTAGAGATTTGCGGCTTTGGAAACCCTATGAGCTGTGAATTGGAATCGATTCGACAGCAGTGGGTTTTGGTTTTTTTGGGGGGGGCCCGCACTCATAGCCAGTGGTTGAGCCTGGGGTTGAGGCAGTTTGGCTCTGAGGGGGACCCTGAGCCCGGCCCCTCCCACTCCCACACAGCCCAGTCCTTTAGTGCCCTGACCCAGTGTGAGGTGATTGAGGGCCTGACTGTTTGCAGGTCTGGGCAGCCCCACCCTGGCCGGCTGCTCAAGAAGGTAAAGTATCTGTCCCCTCCACTGTAGCACACCTGCCCACCCCTCCCTGCCAGACTGCTAAACGGAGCTTCCACTCTGACTGCCCCCGGAGCGCCTTGGCCGGAGCGCCTTGGCCGGGGCTTTGTTAGCACTGGAATTCTGTTTTTCAGTTCCTCCTCTTTTGTCAGTATGTGAATTTCCAAATGTCACCCTCCTCCTCCCTCCCCTCCACATCTGGCCACTCACCCAGGCTCTGCCCTCTCATCCCTGCCACCTCCTCTGTTCTCACAGCCCTGTCCTCCTTCTGCTGCCCCAGCTGCCAGTCTACATGTCCCTCCCACTTATTTTTCACCCCAGCCACCAGTGGTCTTTACTACAGCAGCGCTGTCTATGGAACTTTCTGCAGTGGTGGACGCGTTCTGTGCCTGCTCTGTCCCATCTGGTAGCCATGAGCCACAGGTGGCTTTTGAACGCTTGGAATATGGCTAGTGTGACTGAAGAAAAACATTTTAATAAAAAAAAAAAATTAATTCATTCATAATTATATGTGAGTAGCTGCATATGGCTGGCGATGACTAGGTTGGACAGCCCAGGTCCAGAGCATGAGCAGGCCACATCACTGCCGTGCAGAAACTGCCGCAGGACCGGAGGAGAAGCTGAAGGGCCCAGCCCCCTCTGTCCCTCTCCTAAGTCTCCCCCTCCCACATCCGGGCTTCCAGCTTTGCAGACTCACATGTCCTCCTTTTAGCTGGATTCCATTCATGCTCTGGGGACTTCATGCCAGGCACCCAGACCATGCAAAATTCACTCTAGCTTAGAGGTTCCCAAGTGTGTCCCACAGAACTCCAGCTTTGCAGAAGGTTCTGTAAAAAGCAAAGGGGCAGGCAGGGGCTTGTGGTTGAAAAGTTTGGGAGACACTAGGTAAAGCAAAGTTAGAGAGGATTCTTTACTGCAGAACCTCCCAGAGCCTTTAACATGCCAAAGTGCCTTGTGAATTTCCAAGAGGAGGACAACATAAGCAGTGTTTCCCAAACTTATTTGGCTGTGGAACCCTTTCTTGGTGTAGTATTGGGACAGGCCAGCTGCAGTGGAACACACTTAGGGAAATGCCCTTCCAGTGGCTTTGTTTATATATTGGGCCTCTCAGTAGGCAGCGATGTGGCTTCTTGTTTTTTGGATTTCCATCCCCTTCTGGCTTGCTTAGGGTGGAGGGAGACAGTGAGTTAATTTATTCCTTCAATGGCTCTTTGTTTGTTTATTTTTTTACTCATAGGAAAAATGGTTCCATACCTACCACATGGAGCCTACACTGGGCAAGTGATTGGTGAGTGAAGAGGCTGGCCTGGTAACCTCAGGCAGAGCCCTGCCCTCACCTATGCCCACCCCCACCCCCACACACACAACACAGGGGTGGGTCCTGCAGCTGTTGGACGTTCATGGTCCAGCTCTAACACCCTCGCTGTGTTACAGCAGGTGGACTCCCAGGTGGGGCCTTATGGGCACCTCTCCTTTCAGAGGTATGGGCTGCAGGTCTGTGCTCACTGGGCCTGCCCTGGAGGGAGAGGGCGTGGGGAGTGTCCCAGCCTTCCCAGCCGCCACCTCTCCTCAGCCTTGCTGGCCCGGGAGGGGTGCCTACCTCAGCTCTGTTTTGCTTTGTGTAGGTGCTCCCTGGTCAGCGCGCCCACCTGACCCTTCCAGGCATATCCTCTTTCCTCCAGCACACCTGCTCTTGGCCTCTCTCTTTCCTGCTCTGCTGTAGACGTGCTCTGGTCTCGCCCACCTTAAAACTCGGCTGGGATAAATGATTCTCAGTGAATGAGAGGCCTGGTGGTGGAAGGGAGGGAGAGAGGACACCTGGATTTCCAGTCTTGGCTCTGTCCGTGGCTCATCGTGTGACCTGGACAGATCCTCCCTGCTCAGGCCTCAGTGTCCCCTTCTGTGTGTTCTCCTGAAGCCATCTTCTGCTACATGGCTGTGATCCGGACCCCTGCGGCTCCTGGTATGGCCACAAGAGGGCGGTCAAGGGTTTGGAAGCGCTAAGAAGGAGGCCGACTTCGCTTTAGAAAAACCGTTCTGTGTGAAACTGCCCTGTTGTGGAGCCTGAGGGTGGTGGGGAGAGGTGCTCTCATTTCTTACGAAAGGAATGTCCCTTGACCAGGTAGTTCACCCAGGGCCACTGTGAAACCACCCTCAGAGTGTCGAATAGGGCATGTGATTGCCCAGCCGAGGTCAGGGGCTGTGTCTCTTTCCACAGTGGTCCTTTGCTGTCGCGACCATCACAGAAATCCCTCCTGTCATCTTCCTCCCCAACTTCCTTGTGCAGAGAAAGGTGCTGAGGCCCCTGCGGACCCAGACAGGAGGAACCATCATGGTAGGTTGGGAAGCAGGGAAGAGGGGCTGGGCTGGGACCCCCACACCCTGGGCCCCTCCCCACCCTGGCCTGTCCGTTTGGAGTGCCCTCCCCCTATGTGGTAGCTGAACAAAATCCTAAGTATTTCTCAAAGCCCAGCAACAATGACTCTTTCTCCAAAAAGGCTTCTCCGTCCTGGGACATTAGAATTCATTGTTCCCGCCCCAATGGCCTTCTGTTAGAGTTACCGTATATGCTAGTATATAAGATATAGCCCCATCCCCCAAAGAGCATATCCACAAATTATGGCTCCAGTGTACCCAAATTTAGGATGGAAAACTGAACCCCGTAATTAAATGATGGATGATGTTCCCCCACCCCCATCGTGGGTGTAGCAATAAAGGGAAATTAGCTTTCATGACCTGTGTGTAGTTTTCTGAAAAATTCACTGCGGGCTGCCAAGGTGATTGGAGGTAGAGGAACATTCCAGACTTAAATGTTTGGGGAGCTAACCCGGCCTTGGATCAGTACTTACTGATCCCTCTAGCTTTTTTTGTTTTTGTTTTTCTTCCTCTATTTTTTAAAATTGTGGTAAAATATACATAAAATTTACCATTTTAACCATTTTTGGGGGTACAATTCATTGGTGTTAAGTACATTCACAATGTTGTGTAAGCATCACTGCTATCTATTTCCAGATCTGTTTTATCATCCCACACAGAAACACTATACCCATTAAGCATTCGCTTTCCATTACCTCTCTCCCAGCACCTCCTGCTAATGTTCTTTGGAGCTTTGGGAATTTGTACTTTATTTGGTTAGGAGAATATTACTGCTTACCCAAAAACTGTGATCTCCTACAGGATTGCAGTATTCAGTCTACTGAATTTCCATGAGCAAAAAATAGCCTATGTTCTCTTTCAGAACCTCATTAAAATCATTGTCGGCTCAAGTATGATGATAAGTAGTTAACGTATGTTTCTTCGAGTTTTCCTCACAGAATTGCAAAGGGGCTCCCACACTGCCCCTGTCATATGCCAGTCCATCTGGACTGCTTCTGGGACTCCTTTGAGGGTGCCTCCCACCTCATACATAGCTCAGCGCCACCCAGAGCCCATGGAGACAGTTGGGGAAGGGCTGAGTAATGGGTAAATGAGTGGGGGCAGGACCTGGCCTCCTGGCATCACCTGTGCTTTTCTCCCAAGGCAGGGAAGCTGGCTGTGGAGCGAGGCTGGGCCATCAACGTGGGTGAGTGCTGCTGCCCCGGGAATGTCCAGCTGCAGGGGCCTAGGGGCAGGGAGGGTCCGGAGGAGCCTGGGGTGGCACTGTGCACAAAAAGGTCTACTGCTCATCACGTGGCCTTCTGGAGGTGGCCCCTGGGAGGGATAGCCGGTCCCTCCATCTAATGTGGGGCCTTGTCTCAGAGAGTTCCCCAGGGGCTCTCCAGGCCCCCTTTGCCCATGTCTGGTGAGGGGGGTTCCCTCCCGCAGAGAGCCTGTGCCATCCCGGGCAACTCTGTGTGGGGCTGAGGCTGCTTCCATGAGGCTCCCCGAAGGCTCTGTGCCACTTCCTGATGGACAGCCCGCTGGGACATGGTCATGTTGTGTGGTAGGTGGATAAACCCAGGGTCAGTACCACCTCCTCCTCAGGGCTTCTGAGGGCATGCGCTCCCCAGCCCCAGAGCAGTGGGATTTGTACATGCCCTGGGCTCTGCCACAAGAGTGACTCATGGGGGGGCTGCACCCAGCAGTCTTCCTGGTCCCTGCCATTGTCCCCCATGGAAGGACAACATTTTACAGTTTGCAAAGCCCTTTCCCCTCAGGCCTCTCATGTGAGCCTGGCATAGTTGTTATCAGGCCCGTTTCAAGATGAGGAAATGGACATCAAGAGAAGCCCAGTGGCTTGCCCAGAGCCCCAGGCAGAGCCCCCTTGGCTGTGAACTCTGCAAGGGGAGGGCCTGGGTCTCGGGCGTGTTGGTGCCACCAGGAACCGATATTAGGTCTGGGGTAGTGATGGTGTGGTGACACTCTGCTGTATATTGATGGCAGGCTTCCAACCCAGAACCTGGAATGGCCCTCCCCACATTAGAAGGCAGTTAAGGGAGCCGATCCGGACCCAGCTGGGTTTGAATCCTGGTTCTACCATTAGCTAGCTGTGTGACCCTGGGCAAGTTGCTGAACCTCTCTGTGCCTCAGTTTCCTCACCTGTAAAATGGGGGTGATGATTATAGTACCCCCCTCATAGGGCTGCAGGGAGGTTTCAGTGAGCTCAGTGCCTGGTGAGGAGTTCAATATATGTGAGCTTTTGTCCTCTCGTCATTACCCAACAGTGGCTGCTTGAGTGGTGAGAAAGATAAGCCCCTTGTATCGACGGGCCCAGCTTCACACTCTGTACTGTGGGGCAGGTGCTGGGCTAATTTCAGAGGGCCCTGAAGCTCAGGTTCCCCTGAGCTTGCAGGGAAGGGTCTCTGCAGGGCACTGAGGCTCCAAGGCTAGGGCCTCAGGGATGGGGGCAGGCAAGGTAGATGAAGCTGGACCCTGGTCTCCGGGGCCCTCCCCGTTACCGGGGACAGCTGTGACCAGCAGATGGCACCCTTCCCAACCATCTCCTCTACCACTTGCAAAATCTGAGTGGCCCTTTGTCAAACCTGGTGCTCCCTGCCCCACACATATACCCTGGCATGGGGGAGTCACAGAGAGGCAGGCCCCAGCTCTGGGAGCAAGGAGCAGCTTTCTGCCGTGGAAAGGAATGAGCTATCGTCACCTGGGGGTGTTAGCGGGCTCTGGCAGCTGACTTGTCCAGAGACCCTGAGAGGGCTCTTGCTCTGGGCAGAGGTGGTCACGATGGCACAGCCACCTTCTGACCTAGGGCTGGAGACATGCAAGTTGCTGAGTTTCCTTTGCCCACCTGGAGTCTGAGGAGCAGGCCCTGGGAGCTGAGCTGGGAGGGGACGCTGGGAGAACCGAAGCATGGGGGCCTGGCCCTGACCAGCACCTCTGTCTGCCTTCTGCAGGGGGTGGCTTCCATCACTGCTCCAGTGACCGGGGTGGGGGCTTCTGTGCCTATGCGGACATCACACTTGCCATCAAGGTGAGTTGTGAACATGGGCGGGGGAGGGGGTGCTCACCTCCAAGAGCCCTCTCTGGCCAGGCCCTGGGCTGGGCCCAGGATCCTTCCCGCGACCCCAAGTTTGGTGTTCTCACCCCGTGTTATGGAGAGGGAGACCAAAGCTTAGAGAGGGACGGGCTGGCCGGGGTGGCTCGGCCAGGCTTGGACTCAAACCTGACACTTTCTCTTCTTCTGTGTCACTTGGAGGGGTTGCCTGTGATGAAAGGTAGATATTACAACCCTCGAAGGTGGCAGGGACCTGGGGCGGGGGGGTGGGGGTGAGGGGGATGTATATGGAAAAGATTGAATTGAGGGAGGAAGAGGAGGAGGAGAAATGATAATGATGGTGGTGGTGGTAGTGGTAGCAGCTGGCATTTAGGGCATGCTCACTCCCATGCCAGCCTCCATTCTCTGTGAAATAGAATCCGTGTTTACCCTCATTTTATGGATGAGGACACCAAGGCCCAGACGGGTAAGGCACAGCTGAGGAGCAGACTGGCCCTGGCCTCTATGTCCGTCAGGCCCCCAAGCCCCCACCCACTCTGCACCCAGCCTTGTGCTGGGCATCAAGACTGAGCTGAAGTGCTCCCTGCTTCTGTGGGGCACACAGACTAATGGGAAGGCAGGCAGGTCAGGAGAGGGGAACACAGGAGACCTTCCCGGACAGACGGCGTGGAGGGGAAGGAAGGTTTCCTTGAGGAGGAGGCATGAGAGCTTGGCCTTAACAGGATGAGGCAGACTGGGGATGAAGTTTCAGGCACAACCTTGGGTAGGGCTCCCAGGGCTCTGGGGTCACTGGGGAACTGCTGTCACTGAGGGCCAGGCCTAATCTCCTGCCCTTCAGCAGCACATGCCCCCTTTTCCAGGGAGCCTTCCCTGACTGCCTCCTGCAGCTCTGCCTGCTGGTCTGTTTGTTTGCTCACATGCATGTGTGTCCTCCCAAGCCCCCCGTCCCACCTGGGCAGCACCCCAGATCCTGCAGCCCATCCAGGTCTTCAAGTCTCCTCTCTCCTCCCCGTGTAGTTTCTGTTTGAGCGTGTGGAGGGCATCTCCAGAGCCACCATCATCGATCTCGATGCGCATCAGGTAAATGCCAGCGTGGGCTGGGCTTCCATGGGACCTCCCAGGCCCCACAACCTCCCTGTCTCCCCTAGCAGCCTCTCTCTGTTGTACAAACCCCTCACCAGGGGGCTCCCCTCCCTCTGGGAGCACCTCGAGCCCCAGGGTGGCCCCTGCTGCCCCCGCCCTGATTTCCTATCTCTCAGGATGAAGCAGAAGGGCTGTCTTTGTCCCTCTGCCCACTTGCCCCAGCCAGGGGGTAGGTGGGTAGGAAGAGCAGGTCCTGCTCATTGTCCTGCTTTTGAACCTGGACCCTCCCTTCCCTTATCCTGACCTCCTTCCCTTCCCTTTCCTCCCTGCTTCCCCTGCCCCATCACATACCAGGCTGATGCTCTTCCTAAATGCTCTAAACTCTGCTATGGCTCCCCATTATTTCCTAGTCCATTTGGGGCACCCACCTCCTGTACAAAGCTGGTGAACCTGTGGACCTGCCCCTCACATACAGGTCATGCACGCAATTCAGGGCTGCACAGGCCTCTAAAGCCACTGGTAAGAGCTCGTTGTCTAGGGGGTACATCACCAAAGTGTGGAGACACTCCCTTCTCAGGACTCTGAACCCATTTCTGGCTCCTCTGGTCAGGGACAGAGGAGTGGATTCCAGAAGTTCTTGAAGGCCCCCCACGCCACTGCCAATGCAACTTTGTGCTCATTGGGCCCTGCTCCGAGCTCATGGGACACTGAGCTCCTGGACCAAGTCAGGAGCTGCTGCCCTCCCAGATGTGCACAGCCTTTTAGAGTTTACTCTTTCACATCCATGAGCCCAACTGATCCCACCACAGACTTGAGAGGGTGGCCAGGCCAGGACTCAGAAAAAGGAAACACAGGTCTGGGGCTAGCTCAAGTTCACACATGAAGGTCATGGGCCATGTTTTGAGGTTGAAGCCCAGCTCTACCACTTAATAGCCATGAGACCACTGACCCCAGGGACAGCGATGTTGCCCAGGCCTGTGGGGAGCTTCCCAGGGCAGGGATGTGGAGGTCACCTGCTTGCAGGCGGCTCTGTGTTCTTCCTGCAGGGCAATGGGCATGAGAGGGACTTCATGGGTGACAAGCGTGTGTACATCATGGATGTCTACAACCGCCACATCTACCCCGGGGACCGCTTTGCCAAGCGTGAGTTGCTGCTCTGCCCCTCACCCTGACGTGTATTCTTACTTAGATGGGGCTTGCTATCCTGAGTATTTCCTATGTGCTGGGCCCTGCACAAGTCCCCAGCATCCCTGTGAGGTAGGGATTGTCCCCATTTTACAGATGAGGAGACTGAGTCTTAAGGAAGTCAGTTGACCCACCTAAGATTATATAAAGCTATCTTAAACACACATATAGGTTCTTAAATCACCCCTCATTTAGTAGTTTCCTTCTCCTAGGTCTGCATCGGTCCAATAGAAGGTAGGGAAAGACAAAAAAGAAATAAGGAGAAAAGTATAAATAGAAAATACACAACAAGATGGCAGGAATAAAGTCAAATATAATCACGCATTGCCATCAAGTCGATTCTGACTCATAGCGACCTTATAGGACAGAGTAGAACTGCCCCATAAGGTTTCCAAGGCTGTAAATCTTTACAGAAGCAGACCGCCACATCTTTCTCCCACATATAATGGCTGGTGGTTTGAACCGCCAACCTTTCGGTTAGCAGCTGAGTGCTTTAACCACTGCACCACCAGGGCTCTTCTCAAATATAATAGTTATTGAAATAAATGAAAGTGGTTTGAACTCATGAGTCAAAAGACAGAGACCATGAGATAAGATTTGAAAACATAGGCACCTGCCCAGTTTGCAGACTGGGGACACATATGCCTGAGGTGTGAGCAAGGCTGAGGAGGGTAGGCCAGCCACCATTATGGCCAAGGTACCAGTTTTTGAACTGAATCTTGAATGTGTTGACTTTGGGCTTGAGGGCACAGCAGGGTGTCCACGTGGTTGGGCAGTAAAACTAGACATTGCCAACACGGGTCCCTGAATCCCCAGGGCAAAAGTGCTTCTGCTCTAATCCCTGTTCACATCCTTTTCTCTGCAGCTCTCAAGTAACCATTTTAGGTTAATTTTGGGTGAGATAAGAAACGGAGCAGTGCCTTTGTCTCAGGAGGACAACTGGCTTCCAATCCAGGCTAGGGCACTGACAGGTTCTGGGACCCTGGACAGCCTTCCCCTTCCTGAGCCTCAGTTTCCCTTCTCTGTAAACTGGGGCTGTTCCTGTCTCTGTCTCAGAGGCCATCCGGCGGAAGGTGGAGCTGGAGTGGGGCACGGAGGATGATGAGTACCTGAATAAGGTGGAGAGGAACATCAGGAAAGCCCTCCAGGAACATCCACCCGACATAGTTGTGTACAACGCAGGCACTGATGTCCTAGAGGGAGACCGCCTTGGGGGGCTGTCCATCAGCCCAGAGGTAGGTCCTGACCCTGAGGTGGCGGGGGGCTCTGCTCTGGGGACTCAGCCGTGGCAGGAAAAGTGAGAGCGTTGATGCTTCTGGTGTCAGAGAAGAGCTAGGTAGAAGCAGCGGCAATCAACCTGGGCCAGGATTACGCCTGCAGCAGGACTTCCTGATACCCTCCTCCCTCACCACTCCACAGGGCATTGTGAAGCGGGATGAGCTGGTGTTCCAAATGGTCCGCGGCCACCAGGTGCCCATCCTCATGGTGACGTCGGGCGGGTACCAGAAACGCACAGCCCGCATCATAGCTGACTCCATTCTCAATCTGCATAGCCTGGGGCTCATCGGGCCTGAGTCCCCCAGTGTCTCGGCCCAGTGCTCGGACACGCCTCTGCTGCCCACAGCAGTGCCCTGACCCGAGCTGCCCTGCTGGTCACCTCCCTGCCTGCTTTGAGCCCACCTGCCCGCCCACCTGACCTCCTAGTGCTTTTTGTTTTCTAGCCTGAGGGGCGGTGCAGGACAGCCAGCCAGGAAGCCTGGGCTGCTGGGCAGGGAGAGTGACCTGTGTGGTCTCTTGAGAACATGGAGGGGCGGGGACCTGTCCCGACTGGGCTGGCAGCTCCTCCACCCTCCCCACGGCAGCCAGGAGGGTCTCCAGGCCCCTCTGTGGGCCAGGAACAGAAGGCAGAGCCTGAGTCCCAGGGAGGACCTGCATGGGCCCTGGGGAGGGGAGCTCATAGCTGTCTCAGAGAAGAGAAAGGAGGTGGGCAGTTCACAGAGGAGGGGAGAGGATGGGTCAGGCCCTGGGAAGGCGCAGGGAGGCCCTGGAGGTGGGGTGTTCTGGTTTTCCAGAAGTCAGACCCAGATGGGATCGAGGAAGTTTCCATCTCTACCATGTTTGGCCTTGCCCCCTGCTCTTTAGTCCATGAGATTTGCTTCTCTCCTCCCTGCCTCAGCCAGGGTGCGAGGAGCAGGTGTGCCCAGGGACGGGGCTGGGAGCAGGGTGCTGAGCCAGGCTCCAGGGTGTGGGGACGGGGTTCCCAGATCGCCTGGCCTTGGATTTGAGGGCAGTAGGGAAGGGGTTGCAGGTGGCTTCTCCCATGTGGGTCTCCCCTCAATAAACCAAGGGCTGAACCTGGTCTCTGAGAGCCCTTCTGTGTGATTGACAGATGGGGAGGCCTGTGAGCCCTGAAACCCCTACTTCAGCAGTGGTCTCATCTGCAGGTTTAGGAGGAGGATTCTTAGCTCGGGGAGGGGCCTGAGCGCAGGAGCCTTGATGGGGGCTGCTGACCCAGGTGGACGGGGCAGAGGAAGATGGGGTCACAGGAGGGCAGGGCCTGGCAGGTGGGAATCAGGGATGGATACAGGAACTACAGCCCCAGGTAGGGCCTGAGGCACTGGCAAGCCCAGACTGGGGGTCTTGGAGGGAAACCAGGGAGTCTCCATCACAGCCAGGACCGCAGGGGGCTATGAAGGCAGGTGGCTGAGTGGGGCCCTGGATAGGGCTGCTGCCTCCACAGGCCTCACCTAGGCCCTGACCTATCTCTGTGTCCAGGGTCCCAGGTGGGCCCTGACCTCTGGCCCTGGCAAAGCCCCAGGCCTTGGCCTTGTCTTCAGCTCTAATCTGAAGGGGACATTCAGGGCTGCCCAGGAAGCCAGGTGCAGGGAATGTCCACCCCCTCCATTGCCTGGGCATGTTCTTAGCTGGTGACTGTGGCCTTGACCACAGTCGAGGGAGGGAAAGTGGGCCAGCTGAGGTGTCCCCTGTCCTCAGTCAGCCCCACTGATGGAACTTGTGCTTGTGGTCATTTGGGGATGCCCCTGCATTCACTCTCCACTCCCTCTGCTGGGGGGAAAGGGTTCCAAAGTCACAAATTGGCTCAAATGTGCTGACCTCCTGGCTCGGACCCCGAGGCACTAACAATGTACTTGGACCCCGCACCCCCCCCCCCGCCCCGCCCTGGCCAGTAGTCCCTCTGGACCTGACTCTCGGTACCTGATATCCATGCATTGCCACCTCGGGCCTGGGGCATCGGGCCAGACAATGTACATGGTGTGGCGTTGTTGAGTTTCTGTTGTTCATAGAGCGTCATAAAGGCTCTTGAGTGGACCCAGCTGCTGTGTGTTCTTGACGTGAACCACCCTCCCTCCTGAGGATGATGTGAAGTAAAGATTAGAATTCACACAGCACACGACCAATTCATGCTAGGATTTTATTTCATCCCTGCAGTCCTATGAAGTAGGCAGGCGTTCCCATTTTACCGATGAGGAAACCAAGGTTTAGAGAGGGGAGGGATTTGCTCCAGGCCACACATCGAGTGAGTGGGAGAGCCAGGTTTGGACCCAGCTCTCTCTCGCTCGCTCGCTCTGTGTGTGTGTGTGTGTGTGTGTGTGTGTGTGTGTGTGTGTGTGTTCTGCGCCAGCTGCCTCAGATTTGGTGGGGGAGAGAGGTGGGATGGGGTGAGGGCGAGGATGTTGCTCTTCAGACAAGAGAGAGAGTCTAGGGCCCCTGGGGGCTAAGGTCTCTGGGAATGGGGTCTGGGAAACCATGGGGGTGGGCAGGCTGGCAGAGCTGGACTGTGAGGGTGGCTGTGTGTGGTGCAGTGGGGACAAGGGGTGCTTTCCAGCCTTGAGCTGCAGTTCAAGCATGCATGGGAGTCTGCCACCCTGGGATGGGGTTGACCTGGGGCTGGTGATTCTATGCTGGGGCCGAGGGGTTTAGGCAGATGATGAAGGCAGAACCTCATCTTCAGCCTGGCAGGGTGATGAGGGACTCCCAATGTCAGCAGTGCAGCCTGGGCGGGGAGCAGTGCAACCCCTTGAGGGTCAGACACCTTGCCAGGCAGGGATCTGGGTCTGTCCCGCGGTAGGTGTGAGAAATAGGATAAAGGTGACATTGAGTGAGCACATACTAAGTACGTGCCAGTCTCTGTTCTAAACTCTTGATGGGAATTACCTGCTGAACCTCACAGCACTCCGCGGGAAGAACTGTTTTCATCCCTAATTTAGAGATGCAGAAACTGAGGCATAAAAAGTTTTGATTGCTTGCTCCAAGTCCACAGCTAGTTAGTGGAGGGGTGAGGATTTGAAGTAAAGCCATGAGCTCCAGAACCCTCAATCTGTAAAATGAGGACTATGAGTGACTTACCTCATGGGGTGGCTCCAGGAATACACGTGTCAATCCATGGGCTGCACTTAGGGTGCTGTGTGGCACTTTGTTAGCGCTCAGTAGAGGTTAGTGATGATGATGATGATGAGTTTCCTAGAGGTCAGGGAGAGGACTCGAGGCCAGTTGAGGTGACGTGTTCAGGACCTGTTCTTAAGATCTGTGTGTTTTACTGTATGCACATTATATCCTAATTTTTAAAAGTCCAAGGGACACACGCCAGCTCCAGGAAGTGGCTGAGGGCCCACCCAGCAGCTCTGGCAGGCATAGTGGGTGCTCACAGTGGGGTGCGGTGTGCCTGGGTTGCCAGGCTGGAGTCAGGCTCAGGGAGGACTGGGGAGCTTGAGAAAGCATCGCCAAATAGGAGCCCACGTGGGCACAGTCTGCTGGCTCCGGCCAGCCGCTAATGCCCGGCAGATATGGGGTTTCTGTGCAAAAGGAGCCGGGCCAGTGTCTTCGGAGCTCTGGAGCAGACATCCGGCTTGGGAGGCGGAGCATCCGTGTGCTAGGGGTGGGCAGGCCGGGCTGCGAGGGGCTCAAGCAGGCAGCTTAGCCTCTCCGAGCCTGATTTCCTCAGCTGCCGTGCTGGGTCATATCCTGAGTTTGTAGGGCTGGATTGGGTGGCAGAGGAGGTGGCAGGTGGCAGTTTGGAGCCTGCCACCAAGTTGGCGCTGTATTCATGCCCTCCTCCCTGTAGAGTCCACCACTCTATCACCATGCCTGGCTGTGGGGGTGGCTGAGGCCTGGGGGGCCTACATCTCCCAAGTTGAGTCACAGCTCCTTTCTCCTTGAGGGACCGGTGAGAGGCCCTCTGGCGAGAAACCCAGCCTGTCACCTGGCCTCCCACAGGAACCGTGCTTGACTGTGGACCAGCAGGACCCCGGTGGGAGACAGAGACAGGAATGCATACATCCACCCCTGCTGCCTCAGGCGTAAACAAAGGCAGAGGCTGGCACAACCTCCCCCCAGCCGAGCGGGACTCCCGGACAGATCAGAAGGAAGACTTCTATGATGCCTCCCTGACTCCTCAGCCAAATGTTTAGGGTTTAGGGCCAAGAACTCCTTCAGGGCAGCCTGCCCTTGAGTTGGTTTCATTCAGCTCAGCCAACGCTGGCTGGGACGCCCTGCTCCTGGCTCAGGAGCAACTCCCTCAACCCCTGGAGCCTCAGCCCTGGAGTGTACTGTCACTGTGATTGTCAGGGAGGCAGCAGGATGCAGTGGTTAATGCATGGGCTCCGGATCCTTACCAGACGGCTAGCTGGGTGACTTTGCCTCTCTGTGCCTTAGTTTGCTCATCTATAAAATGGGGTTAATCACACCAAGCTTACAGGGTTGTAATGAGAATTAAATGTGTTTTATATATATATACATATTTATAAAACAAACACCCATTATCTCACAGTTTTGTCACTCAGGAATTTGGGAACATCAATGGCTCAGCTGGATCTCTTTCTAGAGGCTCTGAGTGTAAATTCACTACCAAGATCATTCAAGTTATTTGAAAAATTCTGTTTCATGGTATTGTAGAACTGATTCTGATTTCTTTCTTTGCTAGCTTTTGGCCAGTTTTCGTTCTCAGCTTCTACTGGTCACCCACATGTCTTGGCTTGTGGGCGCATCCCTTCATCTTCAAGCCAGAGATGGCAGACCAAGGCCTTTTTACACTTCACATCTCCTCTTCTGTCGCATCTTTCTGATTTACTTTTCTGCCTGCCTTTTCTACTTTTAAGGGCTCATGTGATTACATTAGGCCCACCTAGATAATCCAGGATAATGCTATTTAAAATATCCCTTCACAGTAGTACCTATACTAGTAGTTGCTTGACTAACCATGGGACAAGAATCTTAGGAGTACATCTTTAAAATTGTGCCTACCACATGTTGTATCTGGCTACCTTGCTAAACTCACTTATTAATCTAATAATTTATGTGTAGATATTTGAGATTTGCTATGTGCACAATTATATTGCCTAAAAAACCTGACAGTGTTATTTATTCTTTTCCAGTAATTTTTTAAATAATATTTTATTGTGTTTTTGGTGAAAGTATACACAGCAAATTAGGTTCCCTTTTTAACAATTTGTGTACACATTGTTCAGGGACATTGGTTATGTTTTTCACAGTGCGTCAGCATTCTCATTATTTCCACTCTGGTTGTTCCATTTCCATTAATCTATTTCCCCCACGCCCCCCCAACCCCTACCCCAATACCTTCTCATCTTTGCTTTAGGGTAACTGTTGACACTTTGGTCTCACATAGATGATTTTTTTAAAAGAATCACCATACTTGTGGGTGATAATTGTTTATTTCATAAGCCAATCTGTTATTTAGCTGAAAGGTGACCTCCAGGAGTGGTTTCAGTTCAAAGTTGAAACGATATCTCAGGGCTGTAGTCTTAGGGGTTCCTCTAGTCTT